ATTTTTAAACTATTTCTTCCTCCCGCTTCTCTTTTCCGTTCTTCCTAAACTTGTCTGATGTAACTTTGTGTATTTTTTTCTTCTCTTATTGCTTCACATTTCCCCTTGTAGCCCCCTTTCATCGCCTTCATTTTATTTTATTTCCCCTGCTTCACTTCCTTTTCTTATACCTTCTTCCTTTCCCTTTATCATCTCCCTTCTCTTATAGCTTTACCCTTTTTCTTCTCTTATCCTTTCCTTCTTTCTGTCCTCATATAATTTTCTCCTCTACCTTCACTTACCCCTCTTTCCTCCCCATTTCTTCAATTTTTCCCATTTCTCTGACCCCTTACTCCTCTTTGTTTTCTTATCTCTTCCTCCTTTCCCTTCTCTTATCCCTTCATTTTCTCTCTTCTGATATCACTTCCTGCTCTACCTTCTCTTATTCCTTTTTCCTCCCCATTTTATTATTTCCTTTTCTTCCTTCTCTGATCTCTTCCTTTGCATCCCTTTCCCCCCTCTCCCTTCTCATATCTCTCCTCCTCCCCCTTCATTTAGATGTCAAAAGAGTTTTGTGGCTCCCGGTGTTTTTTTTTTCTGTGGGAAACGGGTCCAAATGGCTCTTTGAGTGTTTAAGGTTGCTGACCCCTGGTCTAGACCATCTGATGGATAACAGAAATACATGAAGGAAAGACACTAGAGAGATCAAAAAGATAAAAAGATAGGCCAGGAAGATAAAAAAAAAAGAGAGAGTGGCTTCTACTCTCCGATACACTGAGGCCATCTAAAGATAGAAGACCCTTTAAATGTCTTGGGAGAGAACAGTTTAAAATAGAAATTGATTAATCCTCATAGATATAATCAGCCATGTATTGCTGACTGTGCACTATGTCCGTGTGCTGGGCAGATGTTGGAACGAGATTCGCTATGTGATCGCCGTTTATTAGTTTTTAACCCTTTGAAGAAAACTCTGGGCAAAAAAATAAGAAAACCTTAAATTTTAATATATATTTGTTAATTATAGTTTTTTTAAAAACTAGTGTATTTTACGACCTCTATCACACGGCTTTTAGGCCGTTCTGTGGATTCCTGCAGCAAGAATCAGCAGATTGTTGCGGTTGAAAGGACAGGTGGTTGCGGACAGCTGCGGGGGCTCATCCTGTGCAAACCAACGACGGGCTGACAGGAGCCGTGGCTGTCTGCCGCTGTTCACATGTGTCTGCACATCCAGCAGTTACCTGTGGCTAGGGACTAGGGTTGCCACACATCCGAGTTTTCACCCAGACAGTCCTGTTTTGGCGTCTTGTGTGCGGTGTCCCCCCAGTGACATCCAGAAGCAGAAGCTTCAAGTACCACT